ACTGACTGACTGACTGACTGACTGACTGACTGACTGACTGCAACTTTCAGCTTCTGCCAAGTTTTAGTTTGGGGTGTTGAGGTATTTTATGGTAACCTTAACCGTACGGATTTACTCAGTGATTCATCGTCTAATGCTTAATCCTTTGCAGGGTCACGGGCAGAGCTGGAAGCTAATGCTGGGGGGTGGGGGTGGGGTCTGCCTGTCAATCACAGGGCCACACTCAGTATAGGAATAATCAACGATTCACACTTACTCACATGGTCTGTCAGGCATGGGAAAACTGTGGCCTGGGGGCCTTTTAATCTGGCCCCTCAAACTTGACCAAATGATATTATGGGTTTATATTAGCATCATACCGCTGTCCCCGCAATGCCTGTATTTCCCCAATAGAGGATGTCGAAAATGCTAAAAACATTTTAGCATTTTAGCCTTTAGGGATGACATTAGTTCACACGAACACTCCATCTATTATTAGTTCACACGAACACTCACATCTATCTGCCCCGAACCCGGGCCCCCCTGTCAAACTTCAGGGCCCATTGTGGTCCACGAGTCAAAAGTTTGTCTACCCCTTGGTCTATGTAGTCAACACTTAACCTGATCCAGTAAGGTACTGACCAGTGGGGGGCAGCAGGAGTACACATAGAAAAAACTAATTAACATGCAAACGCCATACAGATGTACTACAAGTTATACTGTAGTACAGGGGATCAAACCGATGACCTTGTTGCTGTAAGGCGACAACACTAACCACTCTTTCACCGTAAGGCCAGACTGCAGTCAGAAGAAGCAAAAAATAACCTAGCTGAGCGTACACAGACATGAGTCACAGTGGTATTATTCCGACTCTGATGTGTAAACAGAATAATAAATGGAGCTGTCTATTTAAGCAGGTCATAAAAACACGGCCATGATTAGTCACTGGAAGTTTCAGGCTGGCTGCTGCAAATACTTGTCATTTTCATGTTCAAGTGTTGAGTGTGAGCTCTTTCTGATTATTGATTATTTTATTGTCATAACCGTGAGAAACCCGTCAAAATGACAACCTTCTTACACGAGTCTGTTTCTGCCTGAACAGAACTCGTCCCGTTGGCGCGTGTCTAAACCTTTCCACCAGGAAATGTAACGTTAAATTGTGGTTCATTTCGTTTGATTTTCTCCAAAACTACGAACTCGTGTGCAGCACTGTTAACACAGGAAACTACCTGTCACTGGACTGAACTCAGTGGTCGTCTGTGTCTCAGGAGAAACTCGCAGTCGAACAAGTTTCGGTTCACTCACCCTGACTCACAGGTTACACCGATGGTTCTTGTTAAACGATCACACCGACGAATCCCACATCAAATCATCAATGAAGTGGTTCAAGACACTCGGAGAGACGCGAACAGAGATCCTGTCAGATCCAGGAACCGGGATTTGGAAGCAGAAGCGGCAGCGGCGG